AGTTGTGGGGAATTGTCGAACGCCTTTCTGTAGTCGATCTATGCTAACGATAAGTTTCTTTTCTTATTTTCACCTCTTCCAGAATCGTTTTATTCATAGTTAATTGGTCTTTCAACCCGTAACTACCTCTGTTCTGCTGGGAGTTTTTCTCGACGAAGTTGTATATCCTTTTGGTAAAGATAACAGTGAGTACCTCGTACAATGACGGTAGACAGGTAATTGGCCTATAGTTCTTCGGGTTCTGCGTCACTTTTGGTTTTTGTGAGTAGGTATGCTACTCCCAACGTGAGACATGTACATTTTTCAGGGTTTATATTTATATCATTGTATGCCCGTTCGAAGTCTTGGTGTGTGCTAGATATGTATCTTATCCAAAAATTGACTGTTGCTTTCCAGTTTTTAGCTTTCCAGATGACAGCCGTTGTTTCAATAATATTGATATCCATCCATTTTTGATAGTTTATATGAATGTGTTGTTCCTGTTGTTGCTTGATCCATGTATCTCTTTCATTAGGTGGATCATTTATCTATATTTTATTTTTTTCCCGGTTGTTGATATAATTTCTTGGCATCTTATTTGATGATCTTGTTTTGCCAGAAGAATATGTTTCTTTTTTTCATAAGGCCTAATTCTCTGTGCCTTCGCTTGTATTTGTTGTTTCAGCTTCTCTTTAAATTTTAGTACGTCAGTCTTATTCTTTATGTCAAGGCTTCGTTTCAGTTATGTCTTTTTTCTTTCTTTTATTTTGGAGCCATTTTATACTTCACTTAATGGTGACAATTATCCTCTTACTTTATTTATTTCTCACCAGACTGGCATTTTTCTTTTTCGTCTACGTTGTGTTTTTCTCCTATTTTTTCTGCGATTGTTGCCGTGGTCGCGTATATAAGATAATTAATTTCCGCCAATATCATCTCTCTTTCCATTTCGTCCCTTATTTTTTCTAATTGATTGGTTAGCAAGGGTGATGGTTTCCTTTACTTGACGGTTCTTTCATACTTTTGAAATTGTTGGCCTTTCCTCGAATGACATTTCCTTTATATTCTCCCATTTATATCGAATGTTTTTGTATCTCTGTTTCTCTCTCATATTCGTCATTACCTTCATCTATTTGCTTGAGTACCTCAGAGAGATGATTAAACAGATTTCTATTTGTTCCTCTCTATGTGCCCCTGGGTTTTTGGTATTTAGCCTCTCGATGTTAAAAGTTTAATATATTTTTGATGCTTTCTTGGGTGCTTTCGAGTTCTATGCCAGGTATTCTTGATGATGTCATACATGACATTAGCTAGTTTGTTTGCATCAATGTTTATTCTGTTTGGTAGTTTTTACGCCATATATTAGAAGCAGCTTTGTCGTTGTTGTCGTTGTCGGATTTATCATAGCATTTCTTAAATATTCTATCCCATAGTCAAATTATTTATTGTTCTTTTTGTGGGATATTCTTTTACTGAATATATAAGTCCGCTGCGAGGACTGTTCTCGATGTGGTTTTCCTCAAGTTTTCGTTAGGCAGAGTTTGTCCCAGTTGCAGCCTTTTCGATCCCAGCCTTGTCTCTCAATGGGGATCGTGATCTTTGTTGTCCCACGTAACGACCGATTCAGTTTAGCAATACTTTCCATTATGTCAGTTAGTTCCATTATAGTTAGTTCGTATTTACCCATACCTGGGTGCTAGTTCGTGGGTGACAGTGCATATCTATACAATGTTCGTCATCATGTTCAGGTGGCCAGGCCTCCTCCTGCGATTTTTTAAAAATATTGCTATTATTAAAAATGAAAACTGTTTTTACCGGAATATATTTTACTCATAAATGAAAGTAATATATACACATTAATAATATTTAAATAAAAATTTATTATTATTATTGTCTTGCTTTGTTTCTTCATGGAGCCAACCCTTTGAACACATAGCTACTATTTGATGGACACGATACATTCCTTATTAATATGTGATTATTGCTGAATATTATGCTTTTCTTGACCTTGTATTTTGACGATGTATTTTGTTGGTGCATTATTTTTTCTGCCACTTGTCCAAGACATTCTCTAGCATCATTAATTATGCGCCAGAGAGGAAAATTACGATGATTCCTTTAAATACACGAGCAAATTCATTCATCCTTCATAATCTCAACACAGTCCTTTGACAAAAGCCTCCTTCAAGCTCATGAAAGTAGCTGAAGGTAGTTTTCTTTGTCTTTTATGTTTGATTACATGAATTATTCACACTTCAGGCTCGTTCTTTGAACAACGCTATTTGAATTATCTGTACTCGATTTTTCTTTTAGTTCTGAGTAATTGTCAACCGTTTCAACCACTGAGCAGTCCAATGCGGTTATGTATTAGATATGGAAGCCTGACTAAAATAATTCTTTGACTACATGTCTCCAGGGAAAGATCAGGTATTTTATCGTCTTTCGGATGAAAATCTGATCTGATCTGATAGTTATCAGCAAATGATAACACTCATCTTTTTTATCTTTAGGGAATATCAAATAATCTTTTAAAATTCATGAGTTATTTCAGTTAACACCCAACAAGATACAGTAAAATTTATTTCTTTTTACGTTTAATCTTACTTATTATAAAACGCAGATTGTGTGTGTGTGTGTCTGTAACGTTTATATATTGGATCGGATTTCCTACATTTTCAACCGATTTCAACAAAACTTCACAGGACTACATAAAATTACTTTGTGGTGGTTCTAACAGCGCCAAAATGGGAAAAAATATAATTGTTTTTGCACAAAATCAATTTGAAAACACGATTTAAGAGACATCGTGAAAATGGAAGGGGACAACTCATCGGATTTCCTATATATTTCAGCCGATAAAACAAAACTTTTTTTTTTTTTTTTGGCAGGTAGTGTTTCACTTGCACACTTTTTTTTTTTTTTTGAATACTTTAAAATTCCATTTACAAGACAATTATTTATAATAAAATTCTATTCAATCAGTAGACTCATAGCAATTGAAAACAATGTTTTGTTTGAGTTTGGTTTGACCAATTCGTAAAAATAAAAATAAAAAAAATAATTAAGACATGCGTTTATAAACAATAATCTAACGATCTCTACTGATTATACGAATACAAACATAAATTCTTTATCTTTGGGAAGATTTTTAACATTCGGAAGAATACTTAAAAAAATTCCATTTTTTTTATTCTATAAGACAATTATTATTTTATTTGTTAGATCATAATTAATAAACCCACATAAAAAATTTTTTCTATTCAATCAGTAGACTCATTAGCAATTCAACAAAAACAATGTTTTTGTTTGAGTTTGGGTTTGAAAACCAATGTTTTTGTTTGAGTTTTGGGTTTCGTAAAAAAAAAAAAAAAAACCTAATTAAGACACGTGTGTCCGTCAACCTTAAACAATAATCTTTGTCAATTTTATTTTTCAGTCTTTATGATGGTCGATACTTGATCTATCTCTTACTGTTATATCCCCGGGCAACGCCGGGTTCTACTGCTAGTATGTACTAAATCTGACAGAATCCACCTTGTGTAGAATGTTCCTGAGTTTCAAGATTGGAGTATGAGAAAGGCTTCATCTCAAATTTCATTTGGAAAAAGTTAAGTTTAAAATACTTCTGGTTTGCTCCTCTGTGTGCAAAATGGATTTGGCGAACCGTGATCGAATTTCGGACTGTTGCGTTCACACTCGCTCTCCTGCCTTTGGGAACTACATGAATAAGTTACTTCTTCGCCAGCTTAGTGGGGTCAAATAGTAGAGTAACGTGCAAGCATGTGTTAAGCAGGCTTCTAATTTTTCTTTCCATGTACATTGACTCTTTTGGATGAAGGCGATCCATAAGGGTCAAATGTACATGAAAAGAATCTCTACGTCACTTCTTATTTTCTTTAATATCCGGAAGCCTGAAATATGATATTAAGAAAGAGGTCGGTTATTTTGTTACAGATATGGATGATAAATAATAAGAGAAAAATAGAGAGAGAAAGAGAATATATATATATATATATATATATATATATATATATATATATATATATATATATATATAACACCCAACAGTGCTACCAGTGCTTTCGGTTAACTTCGCCATCGATTGTGGAATGAGCTGGGTATTCGACTGGATACAAAAATTCGGGTTTACAGAGCTGTTGTAGTTGCCATCCTTTTGTATGGCTCAGAGCCGTGGACTCCATACAGGTACCATATACGCCAGCTAGATGTTTTCCATAAAAGCTGTCTGCGTGCAATCCGTGGAGTTAAACTTCAAGATAGGACACCTAACGTAGACCTGTTTAACAGGTGTAATATTAGAGAAATCGAGACATTTATTATACACTCTCAGTTACGGTGGAATGGTCATGTCTTGAGAATGTCTGATGACAGGATACCCAAGATCCTAATGTACAGCCAGTTAGATCAGGGCTACAGAAATGTAGGACGCACATGGCTAAGATACAAAGACAAGCTGAAAAGCAACTTGTCGGCAGTCAATATACCCTTAACGCCCTTGAGCGCTTAGCTTTGGAGCGGGTAGAATGGAGATCAACGTGTTTAAGTGGACTCAGCAATTTTCAATCTGCTTGTCTGAATCATATTCAAGAAGTGAGAGCAAAATCTAAAAGGTCAGCCAATCTATTAGTGATCTCATCTCACAATCCTCACACTTGCTCCATATGTGGCCTCCTTTGTAAATCCCTAACGGGTCTTAAATGCCACTTAAGATTATCGCACAAACTTTCATAACTGAATCAATAAGCTGTCAGATCCTCATACGTCGAAACCGACGGGAGAGTCCATTATATATATATATATATATATATATATATATATATAGAGAGAGAGAGAGAGAGAGAAAGAAAGGAAGGAAGGAAGAGATAGGAAGAAAGAGATAAAGAGGGTAAGAGAGAGAATGTGAGTAAAATAGAGTGGGAGTAAGTGAGATATAATAAAAAGGAAGAGGTGAGAGGGACAAAGAATAAATGTGAGAGAATAAGAGAGAGGGAATGAGAGAGTTAGAATAATGGAGAGAATAAGAGAGAAAATAAGAGAGAATAAGTAATGAAAGAAATACAAGATAGAGAGAGAGAGAGAGAGAGTGGAAGAGAGATAATGAGAGAAATAAAGAATAAGAAATAGAAATAGAGATAATAACAGAGGGAGAAAGAATAAAAGAGAAAGGGAATAAGAAAAAGAAAAAATGAGTGAGAGAGAATAAAAGAGAGGGAATGAGAGAATAAGAGATAAAATAAGAAAGAATAAGTGAGAGACACTATTGACAAAGAACGAAAAAGATAGAAAAAGAATGACAATGAATAAGAGAGGGTGTAATAAGAGAGTGCAATAGTAAGAGAGAGATGATAAGAGAGAGAGAGAGAGGGACTAAGAGCAAGAATAAAGTGAGAAAGAATAAGAGATAAAATAAGAGAAATATAGAATAAGGATAGTGATTGAATAAGAGAAAGAGATAGAGAGAAAAAGAGAGAGGCCGTGTGTGTGTTTGAGAGAGAGAGAGAGAGAGAGAGAGAGAATGTAGCTATAAAATTCGAGGATTTTATAAATGAAACAAACTGGACTGCGAAATGTGTATGGATAAGTGAGAGATATCTTGTGTCTCTGTGTGTTGATTATAGAGTTTCAAACAATAAAGAGGATTGCAAGAAAGAAAAAAAACATCCTACCTGTTTCTCTTTCGTCTTTGTAATGCACTTTGTGATTGTCCGACAGAAAGCGAGAGAAAGATAGGAAGCAATCCATAGAGAGTTTATGAAACAGAGATTGCAAAAGACAAATATAAGAATATAGAAATGGAATGTACAATGACAAGCCACTGTCAAGTATTTATTGAGTGTTACTGACCAGGGATTAATATTTTAAAAAGATTTATTCTCTGAGGTTTTATGATGCAATTCAATATTTTTATTTAAAAAAAAAAGATGCCTTTAACCAAAAGATATTAATTATTTTTTTAGGCTAGATTTATATTAACGACATATTTTGGGAATTGCAGCTTGTAATAGCTACTTCTACGTTCTTTCATGATCATGGCTCTCCTGAACTTCCTGTCCTTTGTAGGCCTTTGTAAAGTGTATCTTTTTTGCAATCCCTGTTCTGCCAACCATTTACGGTAGCTATGCTATGAGCAACATTTTAGTGTCAAATTTTCTAAGCCCACTTTCCTCATTATTTGCTCTAAAAATTATACTGTCTCTTTCTTATGTTAAATATATGTACTTTTTGTTTCCATTTTTTCTAAAACTTCTTTATTTCTCACATATTCAGTCCATGGTATTCTCATAATCCTTCTGTAGAACCACATTTCTGTGGTCCTAAGTCTCTTCTTCATCTGTGAGGAGAATTTTTAGCATTTACCCGCATAAAAGATAACCATCATTCAGTAATGTTTTCTTTGTTTCTGAATATTTTTATTTCTTAATGCTTTGCTTAACTTTTGCAAGGCATCTTTCGCTATCCTAATGATTCTTCGGATTTTGGTGTCGCATTTTACGTTCAGTGTTAAAACAATTCCTAGGTATTTAAATTTTTGTACTTGCTTGATTTTGGTGTTTTCAATTTGGGCTGGTCCTTTTACAGAATGTCGCACATTAACCTTCTTAAAAGTATTAATAATAATTAGCTTTTCGTATTTCAGGTTTTATTATGCAAAGTACATCAAAAAAGTTTATTTATAGATTAATAAAATTGATTCTGGACACTGAAAATATATTTTCGTTAGATATTATCCCATATAACTATATTATTTTTGTATTTACATTGCAACTTGAGCTTTCTGTAACTACAGTATATAGTATGTTACATCAATAATGACCATTCTATAAATGGCATTATACGGGCAGATATTGATTTAGTTAAAGTTTATACTGTTTTGAATGTAACATTACTTACCACAGTATGTATTGCTTTTCAGAGATCTTTGTTTGAATAGTCTTCCTTTTCATATCTCTTTTATACATTGAATAAATTTTTCTATAGAATAAATACTAGGCAGGGCGCGTCCTGGGTAAGACGATGAACTACATCTGCGTCCTGGGTAAGATGATAAACTACATCTCGTCCTGGGTAAGATGATAAACTACATCTGCGTCCTGGGTAAGACGGTAAACTACATCCGCGTCCTGGGTGGGCCGATAAACTACATCCGCGTTCTGGGTAAGACGATAAACTACATCCGACAGCAAGGCCTTTGATACGAAGGTTCTGAGGAGCGTGGAACTACCTCTTAATTGCTGGTGTTCCCAGATCCACTGTCAGGGTCTCAGCTTTGGGCAAATAGTTAGCCCTCTACCTAAAAAAAAAAGGGGTTAAAAAACAATAGAAATATAAAAATAGGTTTTAACACCAACAATAATTTTTTGGAAAAATTATTACCAGCAATCCATTTTTCAAGAATAACTATTACCAGCAGTACATTTTTGAAAAAAGAAAATATTACCAGCAATATATTTTTTGAAAAAATATTATCAACAATATATGTTTAAAAAAAAATATTACCAGCAATAAAAATATTGTCGGCATTAAATGACCCATTGATGTTGGTATGACGTAAACCAACCCAAATCAATCCAAACCAAACCTGGCAGGGCTATAAGAGTCTTTGAAACGAAACTTGGGTAGTAATCATCATTGCAGAATATACAAAATGATGTCTTAAATGAAGATACTCGTCAGATTAACGCTTTATGGGAGACAGCCGTAGTACTCAAAAAAGATTTCGTCCGAAAATTCGGTATTGTTCTTTTCAATTATCTTGCCATCATTGACACTTAAAAGACACATTTACCTGTCTACAATTCTTCTTCTATCCCGATAAATTCAGACTGTGGTAGGACATGGTTTTCCACAACTTCCTATATTTTTAACTCTTAATAAGATATATCTTTCCCGTATCTCGACCATACCATGTTCGGCCAACCGTTCACAAAATCTTGTTTTTTTCTTGCCGTCAATATGCCCTGTGTGTGTCAAATTCTACTAACCCTTTTCCTCATTATGTCTCCTAGAAATGTCAACTGATTCTAAATGTACGGATATTTTGCTACAAGTTTTCGTAAAACATCGTCGTTAATCACATGTTCAGTCTATGGTATTCTCATCGTCCTTCTGTAGAACTTTATTTCTGTTGGTACAAGTTTCTTCTTCAATTGTGAGGTGATATTTCCAGCATCCACTGACATTTAATAGGACACTTTTCATTGTTTATACCGTACCTATGAGCACTAATGGGTATGTCCCAATCCTCATAAATACGTTGGACACTATTGTAAGTGGGGGTAATATGCTGTCTAAGTAGTCCACTACTAGAAGTGGTTTACCTGCTTCACGCCGCTGGCGAGTATTGTATTTTGTTGATGTTATAAAGATTACCATTTCATTTTTAACCTCCGTTTTTGGTTATTCCTCATTCAGTAACCTTTTCTACGTTACAACATTTTATAATTATATTTTCCCTTATTTTATTTGACTTTTAAAAGTCTTTTTTCCCTAATCCGATGCGCGTTCGATTTCGGAGTCAAATTTTCCATCTATTAAAACTTATTTCCGAAATTTTCATAATTTTTTCCATTTTCCAATTAGTAGCACACAATTCATAGCTCCTCATGCTGAGAAACATACCCCTTCTGTCCTTTTACAATTCATGTGTATTGTATTCTTGCTCTTTAAAACCTTCATGAGCAGTTCCTGCAGTTACATTTAGGGGTCTGTATCATAAGCTCTGTATTATCAGCATAGAATATGTTAAGATTCTGACTACCAATTTTAAATGTTGTTAGCATTTATAGATAAATAAATCTATAGATATAGATATATCGGAATTGCCTCGCTGTAAATTTTGAATAAGTCTGTTGAGAAGAAACATCCTTGTCTTTCTTGCCTTTTTATTTTTGCGTATTTAGTAAATTTATTTCTGTCCCTATGCAGGCAGTTTGTTTCCAGTATTAGTTCTTGACTATTCTAATAGATTTCCCGAATAAATTAAGTTTTCTTAGCAGTTAACACAATTCTTTGTTTCTTATCTTATCAACCGCTTTTACATAATCTATAAATATAGTTATACGTCATCCTTCATTTTTTAGTTTCACAGTGATATCATTCTAAGTATAAATATAGAATTATTTATTCCGATATCTTTAAAAAAACGAAGTGTATCCTATTTTGGATGATAAGTTTCGTTATGTGGCTCATTTGATTGTCCGATGGAGCTCGCATTCATTTGTACCTGCGACATGAAAATGAATTTAATTTGATCCCCGTAAATCACTAAAGTTGTATATTTCATTTATTATTTCTGTAGTCAATGCCGAAATCATCTAAGTCAGAGAGAGAGAGAGAGAGAGAGAGAGAGAGAGAGAGAGAGAGAGAGAGAGAGAGATTGTAGGATTTAGAAACAGAGGTTGAAAAAGAGAGAAATAATAATATAAAAATAGAATACACAATTACAAGACAATGTAAAATATATATTGACTGTTGGCGACAAGGGATTAATAATTTAGCAAGTTTTTACTCTCTGAGGATTTATGACGCAAGTCAATATTTTCAGATTAAAAATTGCCATTAATCAACAGATAGTAATACATTTATGAGGATAGATTTATATGAACAATATATGTTGCGGCTTTCACCTTATAACATATATCCTTAACAACTGTCAATAAATTGTTTTCGCTGTCATGTTTTATTGCGCAAAGTACAACGAAAATGTTTGTGTATAAATAAATAAAATCGATACAGGCCACTGGAAAAATATTCGATTAACAAACTATCTAAATTTATTATTCACACGCAGATATGGGATCTTTGATTTTATGTAACTTACCTAAGTCTTTCATCCATTGGTTTTCTAAAATTTGTACTGCTTCGAGTATATGAACTGATTCAATCTTTCTTATGAAATGAAAGTTATCTTGAATGGCCACTCTTCTACATCTTTTAACATTAATGCAGGTGTTCCTCATGAACTTACATTTTTCCTAAGTTCCATCATCGACCTTTTTGATGTTATCACTTTCAACTCAGTATCAATGCTGATGATACAACTATTTCCTCTTGTTTTATTACTAAGCCTGATAAGGTTCCATGAGATAAAATTGGTAACTAATCTAAAAACAAATTTGCCTAGAATCTGGTGTTAACTGTGTTTAAAAATTCTTGTTAATTTTAACGCCTCCAAAACGAAACTGCTCTCTTTTTAAACGTCTGAGAGAACCCTTGTTGCCTTCAGTCAGCATGGCTGATGTTAACCACCAGGAGAGTAACTCATTGTACCTTGAAAGTCGAAATATTATATTGAATCAATTGATAAGCTTACTGCTAGGAAACATTGGTACATTGTTTTGCGCTAGACAATTTTCCCGCCAGAATCTATCTTGTATATTTCTGAGTTCCCTTGCTTTGACTCATACTCTTGCTATATATTTAGAGATCCTTGTTAGAATTGAAAGAATAATATGCAATGTTATTGGTTCTAACCTGCATCTCGGCTTCAGTCACTTTCCCACCGCCGTAGAGTGGCTTCCTTCTGCCTTTTCTTTAAATACTTTCAAAGTAATTGTTCCGAGGAACTTTCGTCTATGGTACCTAGACTTTAGGAATTTATGCGAAGTACTAGATTGGCTCCAAGGTTCCATAATTTTACATATGACATAGCTAGATGTAGCCGTAATTTTTTTTCTCTTGCACTTCACCCGTGTGGAACTCTCTTTCTGCTTCTTGCCTTCCTGTCAATTTTGATTTTCAAAAATTTGAATGCAATGTTAATCGTTATCTTCTGTCTTCTTAATTCCTGTTCTTTTATTATTCTCTCTCTTCAGTAATGTGTTTTCTTCGTATTTTGTAACATTCAGTCACACCTTGCGTCTTTTATTGCTTTGCTTTGAGTGAAATGATAAAAAAAACATTGCTTACAGCAGTTTCCAGTGATAATCGCTTGTTTCGAATTTAAGAGATCTTTGCTTTTTCATTTTTATATAATCTCATTTATGGATATAGCAGTTTTTGTGCTATAGGCTTTCCGTGTATTTATCTAATAAGATAAATACTCCACTAGCCTATAGGACATTTCATGAATATCCAGTCTTATAATACGAAGCTTGGGTAAGAGTTAGTTTTGCCGAATATACAGAACGTTCTCTTGCTTGAATATACCCTTTAGCTTTACAACGGACACGTTTAACACTTAAAGAACGTCTCCTGCGAAAACTTACAACAATTCTTTGCATTCTTGATCCCACCATTAACGATGATAAGACAATTTTACCGTCTTATTATCCGCTCTTGTCTTCTAAGCCGTTTTGGGTGATTATCTCCATGAAGAACACAAACTTTAGTCTAGTAGCATATCCAACCATTTCAGCTCTACGCTGATTCCTAAAAAATACTGTTGAGGAATAAGTTGTCATTTACATCTTCGCTTAATTTATACATCATTTCTTTCTATGATCTTTTGTCATTTTCATGTATTTAACCAAACTTTTTAATATTGTTCATCTATTCTTCTATATATTCACAAAAGTATTTTCCTCAAATGATTTTTCTGGATTATCCACGCTTCTTCAGTCAGTTAAGTGACATATGTGATACACGCTTGTACGATCATGACTCTTTTGATCCAGAAGATTTTCCCGCAGTAGGTTGCCATTTCATTCTGCGGAAGTCTGGTTGCCATCCAAGTCTAGAGTACAAATCCTCTCCTGCTATTCAACCCACAGCTGGGAGGGAAGAGATGGCGAATGTTTGCAATTGCTGTCCAACTTTTTCAAACTTTCCGACGATTTGTATTTATCACACCATAGCTTTATGTTTCTTTCGACCCGTAAGCCTCTTTATATATATATATATATAAATAAATAACAATAAGTATATTTTTCGTTATAGTTATTTACAATACGATGAATGTTTACGGCCACATTACGGTCAATTCTCGGAAGATAACCGAAGTTAAGTAACGTCGAGACCGGTCAGTAAATAGATGAGTGACCTTTTGGAAATATCAGGTGGTGTAAGCTTGGGTGTGCGGATGGTGTAATGTATAGAGTTCCATATTTGGAAATCGGAGAGACGAGTTCCATTTCCAGTTGTGTAGCTTATATTCCCTTTACCTGCAAATACCCTTGGGAAAGGTATGACACCACCACTTCCCCCACCTAGGTGAATTAGTAAAACTTGTGTCACTATATCAATATTAATTCAAAAACAATCCTGCAATCTAAAAGTATTTTCCTGCTTCATATAACCTACAAAAGTTTTAAGCCGTAAAGAAAAGCCATCAATATGATGAAATATGTCAAAATATGAAATAAATAAATAGTTTACTGCTGACTCATTTTCCGTGCGTCGAGCGAGCGACCAGAGAGAATCTGCTTATTTCTAATAAGAACGACTATTACAAGTTGAAATTCATGTGGTATATTCGGGAAAATATGCTATTTCAATATAGTTTCCATGTAAATATATCCTTACTTAAGTCAGAGATATTATTAAAATTATCAAGATACATTTATATGATAATGTTATGGCAGAAACACTGAATAATATAATCTGATTTAGAAAGATTCAATCCAATATACAAGATTCAATGCAAATTGCAATAAATTGCAATCATCGTGGGAAACCTAAATGCTAAAATAGGCATGGAGAGAGATGGTGAAATATTTGTCAAATTCGGACAACTATAATAATTGTTGTACTGAACACGAAGAAAAATGGTTTCAATTAATATGTATTAGCGAAAAACAGGTTGGATGAATAACCTGGTCCAGGGGTCGTCAATGGGTCCGAACAACCGCCTATGGGTCAGTGTTGGGTTCCAAGGGGTCGATGATAGTCAAGGGGTCGGTGTGCGAACACATTACGCAACAATACCAGACTAAGCCAATTTATTTCTGCTAAAATCGGTTTTTGGCATTTTCTTCTTGAGATGGTTTAATATATTAACTATTCAGTGTGTTTTTTTTACTATCCAAGGTATTTTACAATTTATATTAACTATCTGGTAGAATAAGAGGATGCACGGTAGAGTAATGGATAGAGGCTTGGATTGAGGAATCTGAGTGTCGAGTTCGAATTCCAGCCAAATCCATTACATTCAATTACATGCTAATACACTTGTGAAAGGTGTGAGACCTCTTCTTCTCCCTCCAGCTATGGGTAAAATAGCAGGATAGACTGGGTTCTATAGCCTTGGATGGCAACTGGTCTAGGAGAAGGACAACTCTGAATTCAAACTGGAGCCCCTAAGGCGGACGGCACTTTGTGCTACCTTCCGGCAACACCTGCAGCCGCGTTGGTACCAAGCTGTATTGGTCTATCCTCTCCTTTAGACTGGGTTAGCAAGGCCAAGAGTGGAAACTAGACGTCTGGGCAGCTCTAATTCTCCATATATCGTGCCCAGGCTCGTAGTGCACTGCGCTACTCCATCGTCTCTCGAGACGGACGGATGCCGACGACGACGGAGCATACATTTTCTTCTATGAAAGACATGATGTTTTCATCCATCCCCAAGCATACCTATCTTTGTGCCTTTGACAGGGCCCTAATTTTAGAGTTTCTTTACATTTGAGATAATTCTCTTCCGGTTTTAACGATCTTCTTTGCTGACAATATATATAATTAGAAGTTATGTATTCCTGTCCAAGGACATCAGCTATATTTAGGCTTGGTGTACGTAATATATTATTTGCTTGATTCATTGGGTTTACTTAATATATTTTCTCAAATATATTGCGGGAGAATTTAAACCTGAGGAATACTGTGGGGATTTTAGACCTGATCCAAATTTCTTAACTTTTCATATGCTTTAGCAAAAATTTCCAAAATCAGTGTGAGTTTTAAGGTGAAAATTGCCAAAATCAGTGTGAGTTTTAAGGTGAAAAAATATTTTAAATAGGGGTAAGTTGGGAGAAAGAGAAATAAAGTGGGTCTCTGACCGAAAACGATTCACCACTCCTGACCGAGACGAAAATCCAAATTTATATAACTGCCAATAAGAGATTCAGGAATGCAGTTTTACCATGTAAAGCATACCAAAGTGCTGACTCTAGGAGAGTCCACCTCCCAGTTATATGTGAACTTATCACATAGATAGATAGATAGATAGATAGATAGATAGATAGATAGACTTATATAGAAAGATACCTGTCCAATCAACATAGGATGTCAAGAAACAAAAAAATATCCTGATTATTTACACCATTTATAGTCGTACGGGACAATGGCCTAGTGTAAAAAAGAATTTGTTGACATTGTGTTTGTGAGTTCAATCCTTGGGTCATGCAGTGTGTACTTGCACTCAGTGGAAACGGAGGAGCAATAACTGAACAGTACTAAATAAAAATAAGAACTAGACGACATATCCCTAGTCATGGGCAGGGAAACTAGAACAGTCTACCCCTGAAGATTAAATAATCAGTATAGAATTCCCTGCAGGTTACTAGAGCGATATAAACCTTAGGAAGCCTGGATGCCAAAACGGCCGAAACGTTGTGATAATAACAACAAAAATGAGGATAATAGACCGAATATAAATAGTGTAAATAACGATAACTCCCCATCTCGGAAATTCAGACAGAAACATTCCTGATGTTTTCTCATTCAGTCATATTTTGGAAAATTGTTCGGGCCGAGAACTTTTCAACACCCAACTCGAATATGTAGGAAACGAGGCAATATTATAATAGCAGTCAATATTGAATTTAGTTACGAAGAGAGTATCTTCCATTAACCGTCGTATAATTAAGTCTGTTCGTCTAACGAAAATATTTTTATTTCTCCAAAAGCTAGAAAATATAACAAGCAAGACGGATATTAAAGAAATGTCAAATGGTTTCGACTCGATTTTAATTTGGAGAGATTCTTAATGTTCTCAACTCTTTTCAATTTCTTTTTCCTTCATTTAATTGGTCATTTCTCAAGCCCACTCTCCCTTTCTTGTTGCATCTTTTATTTCTTCGTTTCTTTTTTTTCTTACATTTTTTGATATTTCTGTTATGATTTATACTCTATTTAACCGGTATAAAATATTTTGTTCATTTACAAACTCTTCATTTTGTTTTTGTTTGAAAATATTTTCTTTATGAAAATTTATACTACTTTTTTCTCGTAAAATTTCTGTCCCTATATCCTTCCTTCTTTCTTTCTTTCTTTCTTTCTTCAGTTTCCTTCCTTCTTTCTATGACTATATTTTATTTGACACAAAAATCTTTTTTTCCCAATGATTTTATCTTTCTATCCCATGTCTTTCTTTCTTTCTTTCTTTCTTTCTTTCTTTCTTTCTTTCTTTCTTTCTTTCTCTATATTTTCCTTGAAACGAAACTTTCTTTTATCGCAATATTTCTCTCTGTCTTTTAGCCACATGTTTTTCTTTCTTTCTTTCTTTTTTCTTTCTGACTTCATATATTTCTTTTTTCTTTTTCTTTCTTTCTTTCTTTTTTTCTTTCTTTCTTTCTTTCTTTTTTCTTTCTGACTTCATATATTTTTTCTTTTTCTTTCTTTCTTTCTTTTTTCTTTCTGACTTCATATATTTTTTCTTTTTCTTTCTTTCTTTCTTTCTGACTTCATATATTTTTTCTTTTTCTTTCTTTCTTTCTTTCTTTTTTCTTTCTGACTTCATATATTTTTCTTTTTCTTTCTTTCTTTCTTTTTTCTTTCTGACTTCGTATATTTTTCTTTTTCTTTCTTTCTTTCTTTTTTCTTTCTGACTTCATATATTTTTCTTTTTCTTTCTTTCTTTCTTTCTTTTTTTCTTTCTGACTTCATATATTTTTTTTTTTTTCTTTCTTTCTTTTTTCTTTTTTCTTTCTGACTTCGTATATTTTTCTTTTTTTTCTTTCTTTTTTCTTTTTTCTTTCTGACTTCATATATTTTTCTTTTTCTTTCTTTCTTTCTTTCTTTCTTTCTTTCTTTCTTTCTTTCTTTTACTATATTTTCCCTTAAACGAAAATTTATTTTTCTTCTTTCAGCCCCATGTTTTCTTTCTTTCTTTCTTTCGTTCCTTCTTTCTTTCTTTCTTTCTTTCTTTCTTTCTTTCTTTCTTTCTTGCTTTCTTTCTTTCTTTGACTTCGTCCAACATCAATTATTTTCTCTTCCATTCAGTCTTTTGAAACTTTTCGGTGTTATCTTTTCGCTTCTCTCATTTTTATATGCAAATCTCTGTAAACGTAAATCATTCCACTGAGCGGTAACCCCGTTCTTTCCATCACATTGATCTATGTCTGCAGACGTGTCCGAATCAATACTCAACTAACGGATTCCGTTATTTGATTACAAATCCATCAATATTCAAAGACTGCCCCCCAACAATCTTCCCACTTATCAAAACCTCAATCCTACTCGCGATATAACGTCCAACTCTTGACATTTCGCCATTCTTTGCAACGCCATCATCGTTACCAGCACCACCACAACCACAATAACTCCATTTTTCTTTCTTTTGTAATTTTCTTACCAGGATTTTGCTACCATTTTTTTTCCAATTATCGTTTGATTTTTCACCAAAGTCCTTCATCTATTTCGTTCGTTGCGTGACTGATTCATCTTTCATGTTTATATTTTGCCACTATCTTTTTTCCAGTATCCTTTTTTTTTGTAAAATTAACCTACCAGCTTCTTTTCGGCCTTCATATTTTCCGCCATTGTTTCCCGCTTCTCGCCTTTCGGCCATATTTCCTCAAACAATCATTGCTCAAGCAAACTACAGTATTGAATGTTTATTCCTTTTACTACTCGGACATTTTTAGCCTAGCGTTTACATTTTTTATTTACTTCTTATAATGAGGACATTATATTTTATTTTTTGTTGGTTTCTGCTTTCATTTAATATGTAGTAGCCGGCTTGATAACCGGAAGCAGAAGTCGAAATGAAGGCAAGAATATATATAGATATAGGTAGAGAAAGCAAGATATATATATATATATATATATATATATATATATATATATATATATATATATATATATAGAGAGAGAGAGAGAGAGAGAGAGAGAGGTCTTCCATTGCAATCTGAAAGTTCCAATAGAATTTTAACATTGGTAAATACTTGTATAATTTTCTGCAAATTGCTTAATATATTTGCCCTAACGTTATGGTTGAGTATACATTAATTAAAATTTTCGATTAAATCTAACAGAATTTTTAAATAAGTAACTTCTTTTTTACTGTTAGTTCATACTCCGACGAGCTACTTTCACTGGTTCCCAAAGTGCATAAATTGAAGCGTGCTACTAGGTTGGCATTTTGGTCCCATCTTTTTACTGTCGAAAAAGTTAAATGTAACCGACTCTTCTGTTCCAATTTCTTATTTCGCAACTCCCATCAGTGGAACTCCCTTCCTATCACTTGCTTCCCTGATAACTATAATCTTTAAATATTCAAATGTGATGTCAATCGACATCTTCTGATGCCTTGACCTCGATCCCTGTCCATCTCTTTATCCTTTTCCCAAACATTCCTCCTTACTCTTGCTCTCACTCTCTGTAACCCCTTACGTGCTAGTGGCACTCCCGACTTGCTTGGGGCGACTTGCATAAAAAATACAAGTTCTTAGGGCCACTCAAAGTAGAGTATTTGCTGAGCGCGATTATCATATGGGAGGAGTAAGGGGGGAGTAAGAAGAAAAAAAGTGCATATTATAAGGATCTATAGAATAGATATCGGTTGCCTCTCAGCTTAAAGAAACCAAGATTTTAGTTGTCAGGGAAGCATCCCCTCGGGAGTAAGTAACAGCTACGAGAAAAAAAGTCATCTGAGTGGAGCTTGATCTTTATAAAATGCATTTGAACGGAATGGGGATGATTTGCCACCGAGAACATGTCATGGCGTCCCCTGGCTGTAAAATTATGAGTCAGTCGAACTAAGGATTATAACTCGTCTGAACATCTACCATATTAATACGGATAATGTAGTGAGAGGCTATTTTCGTATTTAGGCTGGAGAATAATCCATCACTCACAAGGCTGCGTAATGGCTTTTGAACTCTATCGAGGTTAGACAGGGAGTACTAGGCAGCACCAGGACAAATATGGCAGCAAGACACCATTTTGAACGGATTCTTGTCATGATAGAGCATAAAGACCTGATTTTTTTTTCTGACACGATACAAGGAACCAGCTATTGTTTTATAATCTTTTGCGGATATACGCCTTTTATTTGAGATCGGGAGTTAATATTTGACCCAATAGTCACTACTTATTCAATCGATACTGCGAGTCGATTCTGAATGAAATAGAAACCCTACCAGGATTCATTATTGACGGCAGCAATCTTAACTATGTAAGAATATGTCAAAAGGCGCGGAAAGAACACTACAAAATCTTCTACAGAAGGTAGTGAAGGAAATCGAGAAGAAAGGATTAAACATCAATTGCAAGAAGAAAGAATTCATGGTTCTTAGTAAAAAGAAGAGTCCAAAATGTAAAAGCTACCAAAATCAAAAAAAGTACAGCAATTTAAATATCTGGGAAATTCTTTTAATAGAGGACGGAAAATGCAACATTGAAATCCGAAGGCGCATTGGGAAAGCCAAAGATGCCTTCCAAATGCTAAGCAGAATATTAGGAAAATTTCTTTAGAAACAAAGAATATATTACTGAACTGTTAGATGATATCAGTACACCTATATGTCAGTGAATTCTGGACAATCTCCTCAAAAGTAAAGAAGAGACTTGAGGTAACAAAACTATGTTTCTACAGAAGGATGATGAAGATACCATGAACCGAACATGTATACAATGTCAAAGTTTTAAAGAAAATGGAAACAAAAAGAAAACTTGTACTTAACATCAGGAGGAGGCAGGTGAAATTTCTAGGACACATAATGAGGAAAGACGACTTGGAAAATCTGATACTCACAGGACAAACTGAAGGCAAGAAGGACAGAGGAAAACAATGCATAACATACTTAGAGAGATTGAGCAAATGGATGTCAGAATTTGATTTTGGAAAAAATAACAAAAACACTAAATTTATTAAGAGCTACAAAGGACAGGAACTTGTGAAGAAACATAATCCTGAAGCAACATGGCACATAGAGAAGAAGAGACGTTCGTACAAAGTTCAGCAAAACGGTTTGTTTTCAGGCTTGGAAGGTTTAGCAGGATACTGGACAATATTTAAAAAAAAAAAACGGGGAGGAGTAAGAATCGGGCGATAGGCG